GGCCACTGCACTCCAGTCTGGACGACAGAGTGAGACTCCAACTCAAAAAAAAAAAAGAAGTTGTTTCTCCACTTTGAAATTAGGGGAGACACCTAAAATAATTACCTTGTGGATTGGAGACAATTTTGCTTTTGATCGTGATTATATGTTCGGCCAAAACAAGATGGAAAGACAAATTTCCGTGTTTGTTCACTCTATATCTGTTCACTTTATTTTTGGCAACATTGCAAGGAAATAATGTTAAATTAATCACTGTGTGGTTTTGTGGATTTTTTTTTAAGTTAAATGTTTTGGACATGCTCCCAAAATACAGACATGCTTGTGCGCTTCTTTTGCATTGCCTTGCTCCTCAAAGGAGTCTCTGAAAGGGATTAAAGCCTTTCCTTTAAGTGATATGAATGAGTCATGGATAGGCCAGGACAAAAGATAGAAATGTGGTTCATCTGCATCTCACCTAAATACAAACTCCTGAATTTTAGAACCATTTTGAGTGGACCCATCAGGGCTTTTCAGGACATCAAAGCAGAAATTAGAAATGAGGACTATCTCAACTCCAGATCCTTTAGGCATTTACGTCTTGTCTTTTTATAATGTTTTTTTGTTTGTTTGTTTTTGAATTGGAGTCTCATTCTGTTGTCCAGACTGGAGTGCAGTGGCACGCTCCTGGCCACCGCAGCCTCGACCTGCTGGGCTCCAGCGATCCTTCCTCCTCAGCCTTCCAAGTAGCTGGAACTACAGGCGTGCGCTACCATGCCCAGCTGATTTTTTGATTTATTGTAGAGATGAGGTCTCGCCAAGTTGCCCAGGCGGGTGTCGAACCTGCGGGCTCAGGCAATCCACTCACCTCAGCCTTCCAAGGCACGGGATTACTGACTGAGGCACCAAGTCAGCTCTTTTTATAATGTTAAGTCTGGTAGTTTCCTTTTGTTGAGACACTGAGGCCACAGAAGTGCTAAGAAAGCAAGTGGAGGCATCTTCTGTTTGGTAGGGATGCTGCTTTATGTTGAGAAGGGCAGTCTGCTTTCCCACTCTAAGAAGGAATGGGCCATCAATCAGATAATCAAAGTGTACCCTCCATGGGGGCAGAAACTGTATTTTGTGTGTCTTTGTAGCCTTCATTTTATCTAGCATGAGCCTGGCAATGTCTGAAATAGTCAATATTCAATAAATACTTCATGACTTGGTTGAAAAGTTTTGTTTTTCTTCTGCCCCTCTGAGGCCAAAGCAGTCAAATTGGGAGCCTCACTGAGTGTTCTTTTTGGCCAAAGACTTGCCTTATGATGACTGCCTTCTCTTCTGGGATGTGGAGCAGTGAGCCTCACTCACCTGCCCTGCTACTAATAGCAACTTAAAGGTTACACCCTAAAGGTGACAGTGATTATAACTTTTGTCATCATCCACCATTGAGACTGGGAATTGAAGTGGTAGCTATCTAGAACTGTGAGGCCAGAACAGAGCAAGCCTTTCTAGTCTCAGACCTGAATATTTCTATCACCTGGAGATTGGCATGGACTTCCAGACACAGCTGCTGGACAGTGAGGTTTTTTTTCTGCCCTAGTATAAATGGACTCTTGACATTCATTTAAACGCCAAGCACCATGGGAGGACAAATCATTCCCTTGGAAGGACTGGTTTGGTTTACTGCTGGCCATTGGTGGCAAAATAGAAACGACGTTTTTATTCTTCCTCCCTCCCCCTCCTGAACATTTCAGAGTGACCAGTGGTTGGATTCTTGGCGGCGCTTACCCTGAACCTGAGTTTTAGGGGAGAGGGAATCTGCTGTTGCTGTTTCTGGAGCTGCTCATAAACAAGAATTCCCTATCCTGATCAAGGCTTTAAGCCTAAAAGAAAGCAGAAATAGGTATGGACCTCAATGTATGTCTGTGTGTGTGTGTGTGTGTGTGTGTGTGTGTGTGTGTGTGTGTGTGTGTGCACGTGCTCATGCACATGCACACGTCTATATGTGCGTGTTTGCCTGTGTATATGCTGGGTGGGGTGGGTGTTACTTGGGAGGGGGTGGTATACTCCTCTTCCGGTTTTGGGGCAGCTCAAAGTCTACATTTCCTAGCCTTGCAGAGTGGATTTGAAAGTAATTTTGCTTTAACACCCTACATGTTTCTTTTTCCATTTTGTTGAGAGAGAGAGAGAGGGAGAGAGAGAGTGTGTGTGTGTGTGTAGTTTGGTAGTCATTTCTCTAGCTGCAGGTACCAAAAGAGTATGCTATAAAAGAGTATGCTATGTTCTGCTTGTCAGCCTATCAGAAAATTTCAATTTGACAGTTCATATGCAGTAGTCTTGGAGAGGCAGTGGGATGGAGGGAAAGAGAACTGGGTTGCTAAGCCCATTGGTATGCACTTCTCAAAAAGAATATGATAGGTGGGATTTTAAAAGGGCCCTTGAAGGGTTAACTATGGTGTCAAACTGCTCAACAAAACAATTGGAGACCAGATGGCAGTAACTATTAAGAAGTGAGGAAAAATTTTTTTAAAAGAAGTGAGAAAGGAGAGATGACCTTTCTCCATCTATTATACACATATTCTGGGTTACTCCTTGCATGACTAAAGGAAAGGGGTTCATGTTTTCAGTGAGATTAGAGGCCACTTAATTTAGAAATAAAAGCCTGGGAGCCAGGGTTTTGGAGTTCTCATGTAGAAACCTGAAGCTGGTTAAATTGACTTTTATTGTGACTTTTTGTGTGACATCATGTTCATTCCTCACCAATGACTTGAGACCCTTGGAGTGAAAGAGAGAGTGAAAGAGAAAGAGGGGTCACCTGACACTAATTTTTCAGTTGGGAAAATATGTCAAGAAAAGAGGAACCAATTGTTTAAACCAATAGTAGATTAGAATGTGAATATGAAGTTGTCTTACTACTATTATTAGTTTCACACAACCCATATTACTTTTTTAGACGAATTGGTGATGGGAAAGGATGCCCTTTATATTTTTAAATTTCTAAATGTTGTCAGAGGCACATTTCAAATGAAAGAGGCCTCCCCTTTAAGCTTCTCCTACCCAACAACAACAACATCAAATCTCAATGACTATTTTTGGTTAGCTGAAAGAGAAACCCCAAGTCCTTCTCTTGCTAAGCCAAGGGGCATCGAAAATGGGCACTACCAAAAAGGATTTTTTAAAAAGATATGTCTTATGAGATTAGAGAAAAAGATTTTCATCAAGGCAGGGATCGTTTCTATCTGGTGCAAGCCAAGCTCTCTTCACCTTTTATTTTAGTTGTATTTAACATTTTATAGTTCCCTTCACATGTTGAATTGCTTTACAAATCTTGTCTATGGGGTAACTTTCCCCACTGTCCTGCCCTCACTTCCACAGCCATAAGAGTTGGATTTTTAATTTAAATAGAATATAGAGAGATGAACCCTGTGAGTAAGGACCTTGAAAAATTGCCCACTCTGATCCCCTACTTGACTGTTCCGGTTTTCCCTAGTCTTAGGAGTTTAAGTCCAAATTGAATGTTTAACTCATGCTAAAAGTGAAAGAGGAAGCAGAGCTCTTATGCCTCTAAGTTCCTTATATCAGTGCTACAGCCAGGAATCCTTACTCGTTTGTTTGTTTATTCTTTAATCACCTTCTTTAAGAATGAAATTTATTCCCAATAATTCATCTATTAACTCTAGATTCAATTCTCTACTTTGTTTCTTCTTGAATGGAATTCTCACCCCCAAGTACCCATTTTCTTCCCTTTTAGAAGACTGATTTATCCATCAACTGGGTGTTAAGCTTCCTGTTTCCCCTTCCCAGGTCAAGGGCAGCCCAGGTGCCCAATTTCTCTCTCTCTTCACAAGGCACCACCAGCAATAGAGATGAGAAATTCTGAAGAACAGCCAAGCGGAGGAACAACAGTATTGCAGCGTCTGCTACAAGAGCAGCTTCGCTATGGCAATCCTAGTGAGAATCGCAACCTGCTTGCCATACACCAGCAAGCCACAGGGAATGGTCCTCCTTTTCCTGGTAGCAGTGGGAACCCAGGTCCTCAGAATGATGTGATGAGTCCCCAAGACCACCACCAACAACTTGTGGCTCATGCTGCTCGACAGGAACCCCAAGGGCAAGAAATCCAGTCAGAAAACATCATCATGGAGAAGCAGCTGTCTCCTCGAATGCAGAATAATGAAGAACTCCCAACCTATGAAGAAGCCAAGGTTCAGTCCCAGTATTTTAGGGGCCAACAGCATGCAAGTGTTGGAGCTGCCTTCTATGTTACTGGAGTCACCAACCAGAAAATGAGGACCGAGGGACGCCCATCAGTTCAGCGACTCAATCCTGGCAAGATGCACCAGGATGAAGGACTAAGAGACCTTAAGCAAGGGCATGTCCGCTCCTTGAGTGAACGATTAATGCAGATGTCACTGGCCACCAGTGGAGTTAAGGCCCATCCTCCTGTTACCAGTGCTCCCCTCTCCCCACCACAACCCAGTGACATCTACAAGAATCCCACAAGTTCCAGTGAATTCTACAAGGCCCAAGGGCCACCTCCTAATCAGCATAGCCTGAAGGGCATGGAACACCGAGGCCCCCCTCCAGAGTATCCCTTCAAGGGCATGCCACCCCAGTCTGTAGTGTGCAAGCCCCAAGAGCCAGGGCACTTCTATAGTGAGCATCGCCTGAACCAGCCAGGGAGAACAGAGGGGCAACTGATGAGGTATCAGCATCCCCCTGAGTATGGAGCAGCCAGGTAAGAGAGTTCCCTTTTTGTCATTTCCTGACCTCATCCCCAGTCAGCACCTTCTGCTGTGTGTTGGGAATCTGAAAGGAAGAAATGGATGTGTTTGGTGTAACAAATGGCAGTGCATGGCTGGCCCCTGGCTTAGAAAATTGCCCGCAAACCTGAATTTCTACCCTCTTCAGCCACAATTAGCACTGTATTAACATTCTCTCACCTTTAGAGGTTGAGCATGGCCTCAACTGCCTAGTGGAAGAAAAGGAGCACAAGTCTTGATTTCAGCAGCTATTTGCTGTCCTGTCTCCTCAGATGCTGAAGGAAGTGTCTGTGTTTCTTTTGTTATGAGTTATTAAGCGTTTCCTTGAGAAGCAGAAGCAAATTATCTTGACCTTCAATGAGTATTGAACATCCTATTAGTCTCACATATTCCCCTCCATAAAGTTCTCATCACTTATTTTTGCAAACAAATCTCTGTATTTCCCATCAGTTATCATTTTTTCTGTGGAGTTAGCATGATGCTACAATGGAGGAACCATGTATGTGTGGAGGTTCAAAATGTTACTTGCCTTATACTTCCTTGCAGTTCATGAAGTATGGACTGTTTTGTCTTCAGTAGATAGTTTTTTAGTTGCCTGTCACATTTTTTAAAATTTAAGTTAAATTTGCATCATATCATAGAGAAGTTTTGGTCAGATGATAAAATGCAAAAGGAAAAATACTCCCGTGACTTCTGTTTCATATATTTAGTTCTTTCTATATATACATCTTATTAGTTAGAGGTCCCTTGTCCCATTGTTGTGTTCATCGGACTTTACCATTTCATGATTCTCTTCACTGTTTCTATTGTTAGTATTTGGGCCATGTCTCAGATCAGTAGTATTTCAGTATATGGGGCAGTGAAGAAGGTGTAAACTGTGGACAACAATGGTGACAGTTGTGTGTGATATTTCTGCATTGTGACCATGGGTAATGATAGGTGGCCATAAAGTTGGAAGTCCAGGGACCCTGACTAGCCTTCTTCTATATGCGACCCACAGACTGGGTCTGTAATCTCTTTGATGTCTGAGTCTTTGTCTCCTGTCTCCTCCTCACTCATTTTGGAAAGAACCTCTTGGCTGGAAGCACAATGGGTGACTCAGGAGAAAAAGCAGTCAGGGGTGGAGTAGGGTGAAGGTAAGAGAAAGCACCTGGCATTTCCTTGTATTTCATTTTTTTCCCCTCCAGGTCCTGTTTTTTAGCCAGAGGCAATTCACTTTGGACTCCGCCCTCAACTTTGCCAGTTTAGATTTTTTCCCCCTCTTAACCTAGTTTGATTTCCTAACCTTTTTCAACCTTCTCTGTGCAGCTTTCAAAGGGCAGGAGCATAAGTTCTGATACGTGTCTTGGAACAGGAAATGGGGTAAGGGACAGGGCCATTCAAGGTTTATATGAGAGCAAGAACCAGATTCCCATCTGGCCAAGGAAACCGAAGTCCCAGGGAAGGGTTGGTCCCTTCGACACTGCTTAACTTAGTGGAAACCCATTCAAGCTAGCAAAATGTCAATAAAGCTGAGGGTTTTTGTTTTACTTTTCCTATCAGTATGGAAGACTCTGTGGATGGGCTGACGTCTGTTGCCTTGTGGGAGGGGAGTGTGTTGGCTGGGGTGTGGAGCAGAAGCCAAAGCCCCACTCAGCACATGGCCTGCCTTCCCAGGAAAGCTATTTTCAGAACTCATTCACCAGTATTGTTTGTGATCTAAAATGACTCCCACAGTGTTTGAAGCTAGATGGAAAAGCCTTTTGATCTGCCTAAATAAATAAGGAGCCCAAAGAGGTTTTCTTCTTCTTCTTCTTCTTCTTCTTCTTATACTGATTAAACCACTACAGAAATTTAACTGCATATAATTTATAGGAAGATATGTGTATTTTTTCCTTCCTCCTAAGTTATCTGTGGATCTCTCATTCTTTCTGTCCCCAAAAGCAACAGAGCCAAGGCTGACCTTACCCTTTTTTGAGCAGTATTTTAACATTTTTTGTTAGTTAACTCCAACAGTTCTTTTTCTCTACAGGAGAATTGTGGGTACTTGCTAATGCTTGATGAATAATGAAACCTTTAATGGCCCTAGTGAGAGGATGCTCTGCATGAAGTTTGGGCTTGCATCAGGCAAAATCTGGCTATAAAGTTTTTGCAGGGCCCTGTGTGAGGGAGTGGCGCCTATTGACAAATTACTGGCAAGAGTAGGTAGTTGAACTGCTTTCCAGAAGTATACTGCTTTAGGTGATGACACATTTTTCTTCCTGTATTTCCTTTAACTAGCTATACAGTCGGTGAGTACCTTTCCAAGTAACTGCTGCTAGCACCAACCAATTCAAAGACTAAATTCTTAATTCTTAATCCACAAATTACAGATCAGGTTGTGAAGTAATCTCTTTGAACAAATTGCTACTAAAAAAGAAAAAAAACTTTTGCCTTTAGAGGTTCAGTGAAATGCTGGGGATTTGCTGTTAAAATGAACACAATGTTATAAACAATCCTTTTATTACTACATCTTTCCTATGCCCTCCTCCCCACTTAATAAATAAATATCTTGAATGCCCAGAACTCCAGATGGGAAACAAGGCCAAGCCATCTGAAGAACTTGAAAATTTCTGAATCTTTGTCTTTCTAAGTGCTGAGCCTTTTCTGCATCCTGGGTTTATACATTTATCAACTGCTTTTAAAAATTAAATCATTTCTGTTTATAAAGCAGCCACCTCCTTTCAATTGTTGAAAGCATGCCCAGATCTGAGGTTTCTTGAAATCCTTGTTTAGTGGAATCTAAGGGTGACCTAACACTGTAGTTCAGAGGAGAGCTGGTTGTGCAAGAGAAACCATCAGGAATTTGCAGCCTGCTCCAAGATTCACAGATTCACCATTGCAGAGCTTGGGAAAGGCACAGTTTCTGTGGTGAGGATAAATGAATTCCAGGGTGTTGGTGCCACCTGCTCTGGTGAGAGAATGTGTGTGTGTGTGTGTGTGTGTGTGTGTGTGTGTGTGTGTGTGTGTGTGTATACACGCAGGCTTTGACATGTGTGGGCCAGGAGTGTGGAGTGTGTGTGCACACTCTTGTGTGCACATGTGTGTGGTGGCTGGGGAGAGTGGGGGCTCCCAGTCATCAAAGTGGCAGGGTGGAAGGTGCTGTGTCAGCTAGGTGGAGTGGCTTTTACTTTCCCTTTGGGTCTTCACAAGCTGTCCCTGAGAGGTAGTGTCCCGGGCATTGGGGAGGACTCTGATTTTAGTCCCTGACCTCTGTTCTGCGTGTATGCCATGTTGCCTTTTCTGCAGAGACCCGGTGGCTCAGGTAGCCTTAGGAAGGAGGAGGATGAAAGGAGGGGGACAGGGTAAGAAGGCAGATCAGGGCTTCTGTGGGATCATGTGATTCTGTTGTCTGCAGGAGGTTTGTTGTTCCTGGTTAATGTGTCAGTGGGGAGTGATTCAAACTGCTGTGTGCTGTAAGGACCTGGAGAGTGTGCCGCCACCCAGCTGCCACCTTTATTATTACTATCATTACTTTTTCTGTGATTATTTAATCTTGGGTGCATTTTGTTTCCTCTGACATCCCCCATAACTCTCCCTCACCCCTGTTGTTTCTTAAGTTTTACCCCAGTGTTAATACTACCCTGCTTTCTTGTGATGGGCAGATGCTGGAACCCAGATGGAGTTCCTTTGCTGAAGGGTTTTCTCTCTTTTTGTAACTGCCCAAGCCTTTGCTTGTTTGCAGACCTGCCACTGACGGTCTGCCTTGGTTTTCCCAACATCGCGGTGCACTGAGGTCTGCTTCCTTTTCCAGCCTGCAGAACCCAGGGGCAGCTGCCTGGTCTTGGCCTATCTCCGTTCTGGGCTTATCTGACTTCAGATACCTTCTTCCTGAGACTTGTGGTTTCCTCCTTCTTGAGGCCTCTAACAGGTTTTGTGCTGTCCAGGGCATGAAGTAGCCTTTCAACCTTCAGACAGGAGGGAGGCCAGTGGCTGAGTTTGTTTGAGAGAAAGGCCTGGGCTGCTTGATGGGGCCCAGGGGAGCTCGGGGGAGGAAGCCCAGTACAGAACTGGGCGTTCAGTCTTTAAAAGAGAACACCTCCCAGGCCTTAGGCTTCCAGATACTGGGAACAAGACTGAAGGTTAATGTAATGCTTTTTCCCTTGAATTTTGCATTGGAGAATATGAAGTTTTAGCCCCTTTTCTGCCTAAGAGATGCACAAGTCCAAACAAATCTAAGGATATTCTATTTTAATTCTAGGGATATTTAGACATTGTAATAGCTCTTACTAAAAAAGAAAGAGAGCACTTAGTCTTTAACCTATGAGGAAACTGAAGACTTAAATGGAAAATGGAGACTCTTCACCAAGCTCATCAATAGCTCCCAGACTCTTAACTGGAAGAGTGTTTTGAGCTCTGGGAGAGAAAGATTATGTATGGTAGCAGCTTTCCAGTTGGAATTATGAGTACCATGTATATTATTTACATTGACAGATAGATGAAATTGGAAGAATGTGGGTACACCAGAGGCACAGATAGAGTGGAAGGACAGAATCCAGAGTTTGAGCAAGTTTGGGGGCCCTTGTGAACATCTAGGTTATTTGGTATCCATGAACAGGTGTTTGGAATGATTTTGTAGCTGTAAAAAGCCTTTATAGTAAAGATCCCTTGTAGGGAATGGATAAACGAACAATAATGGTAACTGGAGTGTGTGTGGGAGGGATGTGTTTTAGTGTCTGGAATACCGGTTAAAAGTTAATTGCTCCTGATGATTTGTTCCGGTTCTACCATGAATTTTATGCAATTTACTGCAAATATTAAATGAATATCCTATAAGTAACAAACTAACAGGGTCAACCTATTTCACTGGGAGGTAGATAAGAGACTTTTTGTAACTTCTGTTGCACCAAAAAATAAGACCCCAGTAGTTTTGCAATTTGTTTGTGACCTCAGGAATGAAACAGGCTCATGCAGATTAAGTTAGACAGATAGTAAGCAGTAGAAAAGGTCTCCAGACTTTCTCTGTTGGGATCCAAATCCCATGCTCTTAGCCATCTGTCTTTCCTGGATTGAGAAATATCAACTGTAGGACAAGCAACCACAGGACATGGGAGCATATGAGGTTAGTTGGGCATGGGCTTGGGGATGAACAAGCTTTTTGTCTTTAGTGTACACGGACAGATACTCTTCCTGGTAGTGGTGATGGTGGAAGTATTCCATCCACATATTCTATTGTCTTCCTTAATGGCTAATAGTCATTAGCTATGAATTATTTGTTCCTAGGTATTAATATTTTTACCTGGTAATTAGGTACAAAAATGGGAGAGCCACATTAAACAATGTACCAAAGGTCTTTTTCTGGAACTTTCTATAAGCAGTAGGCAGAAAATCTGAATATCAATGCATTACGGCAGTGGGAAAAGCTGGAAAATGGGAATCAAGAAAGAAGAGTTCAGCTCTGGCGCTAGCACTAAATCACTAATATTTGGCAGATCACTTCCCTTTTTAGGGCCTCAGTTTCCCCTTTGTCCAATAATGGAGTTGAACTAAATAATTTCTTCTTTAAATAATTTATTGTTAAGAGAAAATTTTCACTCTGTTGCCCAAGCTGGAGTGCAGTGGTGTTATCATAGCTCACTGCAGCCTTGAACTCCTGGGCTCAAGCAATCTTCCTGCCTCAGTTTTGCAAATAACATGTGCCATCACCCAGCTAATTTTTACATTTTTTTTGTAGGGACAGGGTCTCATATTGTCCAGTCTGGTCTTGAACTTCTGGTCTCAAGCCTTGGCCTCCCATAGTACTGGGATAGCAGGTGTAAGCAACCACATTTGGCCTAAATAATTTCTTTTTTTTTTTTTTTTTTTTTGAGTTGGAGTCTCACTCTGTCACCCAGTCTGGAATACAGTGGCAAGCACACTTATGGCCACCAGCGTTGACCTGCTGGGCTCAGGCGATCCTTCCACCTCAACCTTCCAAGTAGCCAGAACTACAGGCATGCATTACCACGCCTGGCTAATTATTTTATTTTATTTTATTGTAGAGACGAGGTCTCACCAAGTTGCCTGGACTGGTCTTGAACCCGCGGGCTCAGGCAATCCACTCGCCTTGGCCTCCCAAAGTGCTGGAATTACAGGCTGAGCTACCGAGCCCGCTCCTAAATAATTTCTTTAAGGCCTTTCCAGTCATTACATTTTGTGATTCAGTACATCAAAAATAGCCTGATAGTGTTGCTTGCAAGCCTGCCAACGTCTTTATATTGTTACTGCTAATGGGTATCATTAAATCATTAATAACTAGAATCAAAAGTAATTATTTGGTGTTTCTAATATAAATATCTTCCTACCTTTGAGTAGTTTTTTGCTAATATATGAATTATCAAAGGGGATTGCTGATAACAAGATGAGGGGTGGTTTCAGTGGCTGTGGTTTCTTTCTGGACAAATGGAATGTATTTTCTGAATTGGAATTTTTATGTGTGCTGGGCCATATACATACTGTCAGAAAAAGGTTAGTTTAAAATAATGAGATAAAAATTGCAATGTAGAAGAATTGTTTGAAATGCTTAGACTTGAGCAACCAGTATAGAGGGTTTATCACTAAGATTTTCACAAAGCACCTGTGGAGGTCATCTGGTTCTGTGCCCCCATGGGATCATACCTCTGTCAGGCAAAGTCATAGAAGACCAGGTGGGAAAAGAGCTGTAGAGGTCTCTGCAGAGATTCCACAATCTAACCCTGCCTGCTTCTCATTTTGCAGGTGTCCTGGGGGCACCAGAAGCCTCCTCATCTCCCTTTCTTTTGCCCTTCTCCTCCAGTGTCTTGGGAGAGAACTTAACCTGCACCTCCCTTCATGTTTTACAGGCCAACGCAGGACATCTCATTGTCACTGTCAGCCAGGAACTCTCAGCCTCACAGCCCTACGTCTTCCCTGACATCTGGGGGTTCCTTGCCCTTGCTACAATCTCCACCGTCCACTAGATTGTCTCCTGCCCAACACTCCTTGGTCCCAAACCAGGGAGACCATCCAGCTCACCTGCCTAGGCCACAGCAGCATTTTCTTCCTAATCAGGCTCACCAGGGAGATCATTACCGTCTCTCGCAACCTGGCCTAAGTCAGCAGCAGCAGCAACAACAGCAGCAGCAGCAGCAGCAGCAGCAGCAGCACCACCATCACCATCACCATCAACAGCAGCAGCAGCAGCAGCAGCAACAACAGCAACAGCCACAGCCAGGAGAAGCCTATTCAGCTATGCCTCGGGCTCAGCAGTCATCTGCTTCTTACCAGCCAATGCCAGCAGACCCCTTTGCCATTGTTTCCAGAGCCCAGCAGATGGTTGAGATTCTCTCAGATGAGAACCGGAACTTGCGGCAGGAGTTGGAAGGATGCTACGAGAAGGTGGCGAGACTGCAGAAGGTAAGGCTTCCATTTGGGATATTAAGGTCTCCTTTAGATCTTATTTGTGGGGTTGTTTAATATTCATAGACAAGTCTCCACTTGTGAGTGCCTGCCTGCATTACTTATGGCAGGTCTTCAGGATTTTTATATCTGAAGGTTAGATATGGGTCAAACATTGGAAAAAGCCTTCTGCCTGTCTACCTAGGAGAAGTAACATTTTTACATTTATACGGGGAGAAAAATATTCAGGCAGTTTTTCCAGATACCATAGCCTTAAAGAAAACTTAATGGATTGTTTTAAAATTCCAGAAGGCAGGGGTACTTCTTCATAAGGTCAAGAATACTCATGATGCCTGTGTAAGTGAAGGGCCTGCCAGCATTTTAAGGCTTGTTGTCTTGATCAAACTTTCCCAAATATGAATTTGAATCTTAATTGTAAAACCGTAGTTCCTAGAAAAATCTTACCAGCTGAAGTTAGAGCTTGTTCTGGAAAAAGCTTAGAGTACTTTTCCTAGTGGGAGTTCTCATAGTAACTCTTTTTCAACAATTCCTTCACCCCCCTTTTTTGCTTTGGTCCTTCCCTGCAGTTCAAATTCAACATCTGCGCTCTTTCTCTGGTGTGTGGGGGGGCGGGCAGGAGGGGTTTAGCACCACAGCTGGGTGACAGGTGACAGCCCTAGACTGAGGAAGTAGAAAAAGGAGTTTGTCCCCAGTTCACATTCTTCCTTAGGCCCCCTCCCATCTCCTGCAGCTAGGACTTTAGCTCTGGAGTGCCCCAAGCTAGGAACCCTAGCTCTTGGCTTCTAGTGGCTATTGAATAGGGTTATGCCTTTGGCAGGCTCTTTGCAGCTTTTGTCATTGTGGAGCTCATGTGGTTTGATCTTCCTACAATGTGAACTGTTTAGGGAGGAAAGGGTGAAGGTGGGGGAGGGAGGAGAGGTTGCTTTGTATTGTTCAGCAACTCTGTCCTTAGGAGACACCAGGAGTGGAAATTTTGGGGGCCTGAACAAAGCTGAGAATATTCTTTTTCTTTCTTTCTTTCTTTCTTTCTTTCTTTCTTTCTTTCTTTCTTTCTTTCTTTCTTTCTTTCTTTCTTTCTTTCTTTTTCTTTCTCTGTCTCTTTCTTTCTTTCTCTTTCTGTCTTTCTCTCTCCCTCCC